GGATGGGTGGGTGGAAGAATGGATGGTTGGATGGGTGGATGGGTGGATGGATGGGTGGGTGGAAGAATGGATGGTTGGATGGGTGGATGGATGGGTGGCTGGCTGGCTGGCTGGCTGGCTGGCTGGATGGATGGATGGGCAGGTGGATGGTTGGATGGGTGGATGGTTAGATGGGTGGATGGTTGGATGGGTGGATGGTTAGATGGGTGGATGGTTGGATGGGTGGATGGTTAGATGGGTGGATGGTTGGATGGGTGGCTGGATGAGTGGGTGGATGGGTGGATGGGTGGATGTTTGGATGGGTGGGTAGATGGGTGGGTGGGTGGGTGGATGATGTTGATATTCATAAAGCAAGTAATGGGCAAATATGTATATACAAGAACTGGCACAGTATTCCCCCCTCCTAATCAATCTTTTTTACTTCCCTGTTACTGGGAAGTCTACAGCCTCCTAGGCCCAGATTGAGGAGACACCATGTCATTAAATCTGCTCCTTCTCTCTTGCCCACCCTCCCTGCCCTGATTCAAGCCATGCGCTCCTTTTCCTGGCCACCACACTGGGACCCTAACTTTTCTCTGTCTCTGGGTTTCTCTTGTCCCCTTCCTCCACATTGGTTGCAGATTTTATTGCTCCGACCATATCTTTCCCTTCTGTGTCTTCCATATGATAAAATCCAAATCTCTCACATAATTTTTCAAATCCTCCCGGCATGGCTGTGTCTGGCTTTCTAGGACTATCTTCTTGTCCCCCACAGAAGATGGGGGCCCTGCAATCCCCCCTGATTGCCCCATTCTCGTGTCCTGATTTATGTTCTTTTCTCCATCTGGAACACCTGTCTCCTTACCCCCCTTGCCCAGTGAAAATGATGCCTCCTTCTGTAAGTCTCCCACACCCGGCTCCAGACTTGTCCCGAATCAGGAATGAAGTGTCCTTTTTCTGAAACACTGACACTTCTTCCATCTTGGAGGTGTCCTCTGTCCATCCACCCATTCATACAACACCCTTTGACCCCTACCGTGGTCAGCCCTGCCTTGGCACCGGTGACAGCAAGAGGAAGGGGTGGTTCTGGTGGGGCGGGCAGCCATGACTGGGGCAGGGGAGTCTCTGCTGGGAAGTGGGGGGCAGCCAGAGTGAGTCAGTAGAGTCTTTGCAGATGGAAAGCCCTAAGGCTGAGGGAGCAGCACGTTGCAAACTGAGGTGTGCTCCCAGAAGGGCTGGGGCAGGGCAGGGTGCGTGTGGGGGGGTGAGGAAATGGCTAAGAATGCATCTTGAACATCTTGAACATCCCTGAATGCCGAGATGAGGACTCTGGCTCGGCTAACAGGGGGCACCAGTGATCATTATGAGCAGCTCACGCCCACTGCCAGAGTGGAGAGTTGACGTTCTGTGTCTCTGCCTTCCCTGGACACTAGGCGAAGCGACAGGCTGTGATCTGCGATCTGTGTGTTGCAGACCCAGCTTGCCCTGAACTGAACTGGCCCATGTGGGTGGAGAGAGTGGACGGCCAGTTTGATGGGTGGATGGACAGGGGAAGGTAGAGAGGGACACTGTATTTCTTTCACACCCATCGAATGCCAAACTCTACCCTGCGCAGGTGTGCTTACTGGAACGTCGTTTCATTTCAGTTTGTTTTGTGAACAGATGAAGGAATGAGCTCAGATGAAGGTGGCCTGTCAAGAGCTCACTGCTCTTAAGGGACCAAGCTGGGAATTTGGCCAAGGCCTTCTGACCCCAAGTCCTTTAGGCGCTCTTGGAATTGCCCATGATGGGCTACAAATGGTGTAGGGAGCAGCAGGCCAGGAGACATGCAGCTGGATGGACAGATGAACACATTCCCAGGTGCAGGAGTCTGAGCCAGCCAGTTCTGCACCCCCCCCACCCCTGCCCAGGCCAGAGACAACTCACCTTGCACCCCCTTGCCTGGCAAGCCTCAAGCTTTCCTGCCCTGGCTGTCCCCCCGGGGCAGGGGGGAGTCATGGTGAGCTCCCTTCTGCCCCTCGGAAGCACTAATTCCTACCCACCCCCCACCCCAGAGCTAATCCTGCACCATTCAGAAATCTCTGACCTACCTACAACCTGCACCAGATGGGCCTGCCCTGTGCCAGCCGGCACCCACAGCTGAGCCAAGGGGAGGAGGGGACAGCTTCCAGACAGGAGCCCACGCAGTAAGACCCAGGTCTACAGGCCATTGTCAGGGCACGGAAAGAGGGCACCGGGGGGGCAGAGCTGAGGTTGGTCTGGGGCCTCCACTCCCCAATTTCTAGGGCCCCCTTCCCTTTGCTGCCTCCACAGCACACACACTCATGCACACACGTGCACGCTCACACTTACATACACCCAGGCACACATGCACACTCACACACACAGTTGCTCCTATATACACGCACACTCACGCCCACGCACTGGTGCACACATGGTCACATGTGAATTACACTTACACCTTCACACCCACACACACTCGTACACGTGCACACTCACACACACTCACTCACACAATGCAGTCCCCACACGGTGGAGCCCAGAGCTCAGTACACAGGCCTGGAGGCAAAGGTGCGCCTGGCGGTGGGTGATGCTGACGATGAGTCAGGAGGTGGGGGTAGCCGGGTGCCCAGGGTGTGTGATGCCAGCGGCAGGGGTGGGGCTCAAAGATGCACAGAGGCAGAGCTGTCCAGGCGTCTGTCCTTTTTCCAGGGCCAGCCTCCCTGGCCTAGACCCTCCCCTCCCTCCAGCCCCCACGTTCCGCCCCCACCTCACTGGGCGGCTGTAATCAGTGACATGCATCAGGGCTTGGACCCGCAATCTGGGGACAGTGATGATCTGGCTAGACATGAGCCCACACCTTCCAGAGTGACAGGGAGATGGGTCCTGCTGGTGGGGTCCTTCAGTCCTTACACATTTGCACCGAGCTCCCCACTTCGAATGTGAGTGGATCACAGCCTCTCTCCTGCAATCTTGGTCCATTTCTTTCTGCATTGCCCTGGGGACATGAGGTCCTGTCTGCCTGGCGCCCTGCTCTGCCCTCAGCCAGCTCCTCTCACAGCAGTGAGGGGCTCCTGGAAGTTGTACCCACTCAGGGTTTGGGGTCAGGGGTGTGTGGGACATGCTTATGGCTCTCTCCACCCCCTGCCCCCTGCCGGGCACCCTGGCCACCTGGACGGACTGTCTAGAAACCGTGTGGGAGAGGGAAGGCGGAAAGCAGTGACTTGATCAGAAGCCCCGTCTACCGTGGCCTCCTTCTGAACGTGTGCCTGGTTTCAGGGTCCCTGTGAGGGGCTTGGAGAAGTTCTCCGCACTGTCCTCCTGTCAACAGGGGAAAGGCTCCAAGGGTCTTCATCGGTGTGCGGCTCCATCCCCGCATGCCCAGGGGCAGCTCTGGGGCCCCACCCAGAGGACAGGACACTGAGCCCTGGGTCTGCTCCGCAAGGACTAAGCTGGCTGTGTAGAGAACGCAGTCCTGCACCCCCCGAGCCCTGTCAAGGCAGCCTGGAAGCTTCCGCAGCTCAGGACCGAGACAGGCAGCCCCACCCCGCTGACTCGGAGCTAGCCAGCAGCTGTGTGTCTCTGGATCCCACGAGGGGGCCCCCACCTGCCATCCCCCGCTCCCCCTGTCCCCCTCCCCTGCCCCACTCACTTTGAGGGAGTAGGCCAGCGCAATGAAGCCCAGGCAGCAGAAGTTGAGGTAGACGAAGTTGAAGATGGACCACAGGTAGTAATCGTTGACCTCGGTGGTGTCGGGGTAGACTTCAATGACCGTTGTGGGGTTCGTCATAGTTTTCTTCTCTGCTAGGTGCTTGCAGGCCTGGGGGGCACCAGAGGCCCGCATGCTGTCCGTCTTGCTGCTCTTGGACTCCATGGGGAACAGGGTGGGCGCCATGGGGGGTGATGCTGAGGGCTCAGGGGCTGGGGCCGCTGGAGCCTGCAGGGCCGGGGGCTTGGATACACAGGCAAAGCAACCCTTAGGTGAGCCTGCCGGGGGCCTTGGAATCCAGAAGGCCCCGTCCAGGGGGACTCGGGCTTCCTGGGTGCCGTCCGTGGTGCTAGCCGGGGCTCCCAGCGGCGCTGGGCACTGGCTGGGGCCCTGGGCCTGGAGGGAGGCGGGGAGGAAGAATGAGCTGGGTCCTGCCTGCCCTGCAGGGCTTGCCCTGGTGTCCTGCAGCATCTCCCCTGCAGACTCACAAGCAGCCCCAAAGGAGATGGAAATCCCCACCGAGGCGGCCAGCTGCCAGCCTGCCTCCCCCACCCGCCCTAGCCACCCCGATGCCAAAGCCCTTCACAGCAGCCTTGGCAGGAACATCGGGGGCTTTTCATCACTTTGCCATCTGCGCACAAACATTCACCCACTGACATAAAACAGCAACACCCCCCATACCCAGCAATGCCCCGACTGACAGGCTGTTGTAATAGACAGAGCATGCCAGCATCCCGAACACCCCGGCACACACAGGCCAGGCAAACCCACAATGGCAGCATCTTGGCCACTATCTGGCAGAATGAGCAGAGCTCTCCGGATCACCTGCAGGCTGACAACGCTGACATCGGCCACCAAGGCTCTCCAGACCCCCGGGGCGCACCCGTGTGCTGAGATGCTTCCAGGTAAACAGCTCCGCACTGTGACACGCAGCGTGGACACACACAGCCACACGGGCTCGGACGCAATCGCCCCGGGGATGGAAACGGCCACTGCGGGCGCCCCAAACTCGTGCGCGTCGTCCCCGCCCCCAACCCCGGCCCAGAGCGGCGGCCGGGACCCCAAGCGCTTGCTCTCACTCGCAGGGAGCCACCCAGCCCGTGCCACAAACAGACGCACAAGGACACTCTGCGAAACGCGCACTTCTCCAGCCAGGCACTAAGGTGTCCGCGCCCTGCGCCCCCCCGGGGGGGGGTGGGTCTGCGGCCGTCACCCCGCGACCTGGCCCGGGGCTGCCGCAGCCTCACGGACGGACGGCGCGCCCCGCGCCCTCACCTGCTGGCGACTCCTCTGCGGGCGGACCGACCCCTGCGCCGCGGACCGCGCGTCCTTCCGCCGGCCGGCGGCTCGCTGTCTGCCCGCCGCTCCGCGTCCCGGCGGCCCAGCCTCGGCGGGGGGAGCGCGCGGGGCTGGCGGCGCCGCTGTCCCCGCTCCTGCGCTCCCTCCGCAGCGCCAGGCCGGCCGCGCGGCTGCAGCCCCAGCCTGACTCACGGCGCCGGCGGGCGCAGCCACCTCCCCGCCTCCTCCCGCCCGCAGGGTGGGGGCCGCGGGCGCCGGCCGGAAGCCGGACCCTCGGGGGCTGCAGAGCCGGCAGGGGGTTGCGGGGATGGGTCCTCCTACAGTGCCACCCAGTGTCCCCGACCGCCGAGCCTCCCTCGCCTCCCTGCCCCTCCCTCTTGCTGAGGCCCCAGCCTCTCTCCCCTCTGTCTCTCCAGGAGGGAGCCCCTTCATCCTCCTGCTGTCCTCCTCTGCCCCACCCCAGCGACCAGGATGGCTATCTGAGCCCCTCCCCTCCGCTGTCCCCTCTCAGACTGCCGGGTCCCTACACTCCCCACATCTCAGTCCTCACCCCTCCTCAAGTACCAGTCCTGGCCTGGCAGAGCCCCCACCCTAGAGAGCCCAGGTACCCCAGCCTGTGCCCCTCCCCAGCGCATTCCTGCACCTAGCCCAGCCCCCATCTGCTCTCCTGTCCCTGTACACCCCTATCCCCAGCCAAGCCCCTTGCAGGTGCCTGGCCCCCAACTGTAGCTCCTCTCTGAGCCCCAAGCCCATCACCCACCTCTGCACAGTCCTGCCCCTAACCGAGGCCCTAGCCCCGGAGGCTACCAAGTCATGCCTTCCCTGAGCCTTGATGTGGCCCTGTCCTTTCTGAGCCCACCCCTGTGGAAACTCCTGACCCCCTTTCCCCAGATCTGACCCTACACACCCCAGCCCAGAGCACCCAGCGCCACCTCCTGAATTTGCATCCCTCACCGAGTTCAGTCTTGAAGGCCCTTACCTCTCACTGGTTGGTCCCCTCTGCCCATGGGGCTGGATGTTCTTCTCCAAGCCCCTAATGACCCTTGTCTCCTTCCACTCACCTGCCCATGCCTCTGCCAGCCCTGCTGGTCCCACCTGGGCCGCGTCCCCTGCAGATGCTCCTTCCTCTAGCCAATGCCCACCGGCCCAGCCCCAGCCCCCTCTGGGGGCCTCCACTCACTCCACACCCTCTCGCTCTCTCTCACTCGTGTCCTTAGATGACCTCTCCTTCCTGCAGAAGCCCCAGTGATTCCCATCTGCAAGGGAGAAAGAAGCCCTAGCCCTCTCTGCCTCTCCCGGAACCGCCCCCCCAGCCCATCTTGCAAGTGCCCTCTTCACCAGCCCACCAGCCTCCACAGACCCTAGACCCTCCAAAGCCCCCCAGAAGCTGCGCCTATGTGTGGTGGCCCTAGATTTCCTTCCGCAGCTCCCCCCACCCAAGCCCCTGTCCCCTCAGAGGCCCTGGCTGCCCTCTGACCAGCTCAACCTGCCTCCCCGTCTCCACAAGCCTCCCTCCAAGCCTGGGTCTTCTCAGGAGCAATGCTTGCCCGCCTATGCCCAGTCCTCTGCCCACCCCTGCTCTCCCCAAACCTCTTTGAGTCTGAGCCTTCCCAGAACCCACCTCCCTGGACAGGCCTCAGCCCCTCCCCGAGCCCTCCCCTTCCAGCCCCGCCCCCCGCCCCCGGCCCAGCCTCATCTGTGGCTGTCAGGAACCCCAGGAACCTCCAGGAGGTTGATAAAAGCCCCTGTGAGTGGGAGGGGTCCTGGGTACCAGCGCTACCCCCCATCCTGGCCATGGCCTCGACAGAGGCAGGCCCAGTCCAAGAGCCCACAGGCATGAGGGAGGATGGGGACTGTGGAGGGATCAGGATTCAGTTCTTCCCCACGCCACACCCACTGTGCCCTTCCCAAGGGTCACACGTAGGGGCACCTGGACCCCCAGGCCTCAGGCCGAGCCTGACCTACGGTGCAGCCTGCCTGCGGTCGGCACCACACGCCACCAGCTCACCTGGGGCCAGGCACTGCCCTACCTGCCCCAGGATCTGCCCCGGGCTGCTCTAGGCAGGCAGGCTGCCGGCCGTGGCCAATGCGGCTGGTCGGCACAGGAGTCCAGCTGGTCCTCAGACAGCAGGAGAGGGGCGCCTGGCTCTCAGGGGCCTGCTCCAGGTCCCAGGGTGGAGTCAGGGCCTCCTGCTCCAGACAGCCTTGAGGCTGCCTCTCCCTGGGCCCCGGAACCCAGAGCAGCGGTGGGGAGGGCACGTTAGCCCCCACTGGCCTCCTCCCAGTAGGGGAGGGAAGGCGCTCGACTCCATTCGGGCGTCCTCCAGGCAAGGGCAAGAGGCAGGAAATGCCCACCGGGGCCTGCTGGGCTGGTGCAGAGCATGGCAAGCCAGCCAGGACAAGTGCCAGACGCTGAGCTGAGCTCCCCGTGGGGACCCTGGCGAGGAGTGCCCTGTTATTACCCACCTTCTAGTCAGACTAGAGGCTTAGGGTTGGGTCATAGAGGCTGGATCTGAGCCGGGAGTCAGATGCTAGGGGCCAGAGGATCCCAGCCAGCAGCCCAGGGCAGTCGCACTGGTCCTGGGCTCTGGGCAGGAGCTTTGGCGCCCTGACGGCGGGTTGGGGCTGGAAGCTCAGCCTGTGCTCATCTACACAGCGCCTGGGGAGGGACCAGGGGCATCTTTTGTGCTTGTCCCCACCTCCCAGAGAGCGGACGGAGGTGGCCTCCAAGCTGAGGGTTACAACCGCAGGGCCAGCAGAGTGGGGGAGGCACCGCCAGGCCGTGGCGGGTGGCAGCAGGTCCCAGGGCAGCCACCAGGGGTTTGAGGGGGGGTGGTGTTGAAGGAGGCTGCCTCCTTCCTGCCCAGCTCTGACTCCAGGTGTCTCAGGACACAAAGGCTTGGATGACACCGTCTCCCCATCGGCCCTGCCAGGCCCTGCGGCTCTGCCGTCTCCCTGCTCAGATTTCAAGTGCGGAGAGCACGGCGCACGTGTTTATGGGCCTCCTCGCAATTCTGGCTGAATGCTTGTTAAAGGTGCCAGCTAGGACTTGGCTCTGGGGTGCAGTCCCCTGACCCCCTAGGGCCAGGCCAATGACAGCCATGGCACTGAAGGCCAAGAAGGCACCAGGACAGTGACATCGGCCATATTTGCCATTTCCCTTACACCTGCAGGGGGTGGGCTCCAGGCAAGAGTCCAGAGCCGCTGATCCAAGGGAATTCTGTCCCAGTGGCTCATAAACTCCTGTTCATCCCTTAAAACCTCCTGGCTGTGTAGCTGCCTCTGGGCAGATGAGCCCAAGCACCCCTCAGCAAACTCCCAAGAGGCCAGATCCCCAGGGAGGTCACTGCAGCCTGAAGGATTTCCTAACTGGGATCCCTGAACCCGAGACTTCAGGCCCCCGGGCTGGCCTGCTCCATCATCGGCTTGCTTTGCAGACGGCGTTCAGGTGCTGGCCAGGAAGCCCAGGAGGCAGGCTGCCCACTCACCATCAGGCTCGCGCAGGCTCCTGTCCTAGGCTCTCATGGGATGTCAGGGGGGCTGCAGAAGGCCAGGGCCCTGATGCTGGTGGAACATCGTAGGGAAGCATGGCAGGCACTCACCTGGACCACTCCCCAAAAACCGTGCTCAGTGCAGGCCCTGGGAACCTTGCCCAGCCCCACCCTGCAGCCTCCCACCAAGGCCACATCCTGCTGGTCACTGCCCCAGGCCTCTGGGCAAGCTAGCCCTCCACCGGTGAGGCCGGGCAGCAAGCTGAAGACCCCAGGGTCCCCTGTGCAGGGCAGGGGGGCTGGGGTCTGGGAGCCAGGGCACCTCCAAAGCTTCTCCCCCTGCCTGGCTGTGAGTCAGCCCTCAGGAACAACGGCCTCTCACCAGCCACAACGGCTCCCTCCCAAGTCCAGATTTAGAACCGCCCTTCCCACCAAACACAAAACACGCCAACACAGAAAAAAGAGGCCCAAACAACTGTATTTTCATGTCAACTTTGGCTCCCGGTCACTCAAAAGAGGGGCAGCTGCAGAGAAGGCGGCACCAGCCCCCCCCTTCCCTTCTTCCCTGACCCTGGACCAGAGAACGAATGCCCTCCTGGATGGGGTCGAGCCCCAGGATGACCCCAAAGGCGTCACAAGGCTGGCTTTTGTTCTCTGAGCCCCGACCCTTCCAAGTCTTTCCTGCTTGTCCTCGGGCCTAAGCTGGCCCCTTCCTCAATGGGCCCACACAAGAAGATAGGGGGGCCGGCAGTGCCCAACTCCGGACCCCAGGCCAGGCAGCGGCAGAGCCCAGAGAACAGCCTGGCTTGGGGTGGGGGTTCAGTCCAGAGGTCCTGCCTGGGCAGCCAGGCCCCTGAGGCACAGGCTGGGGGCGGGTGGTGGACGGGGGTCCTGGGATGCGCAACTGATGGGCTGCCAGGCCAAGCTGGGCTTCCAAGGTACTGAAGTGGCTCCACACTCTGGATCAGCCTACTGGCTGTCCCGCACCCCGCCCCTCCATTAGACAGACACACAGACAGGCAGACAGGCGGGCGGCATTTCTGCAACCAGGGCTGGGGAAAACCACAGAACAAAACGGCAGGCCCGGCAGGCCGGCGCCTGCAGAGTTGGGTTGTGAGTGTGAGTTTGAGCGTGAGTGTGTGTGGCAGGGGTGGCCGGGAGGGTGGAGGCGGCCGGTCTCTTCCTGCTGGACTCATTCCTCCCCAGCAGGCGGGTGGCTAGAGCCTGGTGGCCTCGGCCAGGCCCACGCGGTTCTGGTCCCGGTCGAACACAGTGTAGTAGCGGCCGATGAAGACGTCACCCAGGATCCACAGCGGCCCACCGGGCGGGGGGATGTCCATGCCCATGAAGCCGCTCAGACAGATGGTCTTCCCACCCTGCGACACCTGGGATGGCCACGGTGGTCAGCACCCCGCCCACCGCCCCGGCCCACCACCTGCCCCTGGCCTCCACTGACCTTGAGTGTATAGTCCTCTGAGGACAGCGTGTAAGCTTTGCCACCCAGCTTCAGGGTGACCTCGGGCAGGGTGGACACCTTCTCACAGGGGATCATGTACTGAGGGAGAGAAAACGGAGCAGCTCGGGGGCAGTCCGCGGGGACGGCGGGTGGGGCACCCCGCCCACGCAGCCCAGCCCGCTCACCTCGCCCTGGATCAGCGGCACGGCCCCGATGGCCTTCTGCAGCTCACGCACCTCGTCCACGGGGCCCACGATGAGGGAGGTGCCCGTGTCCAGGATGGCCTCGCAGCCACCCTTGCACAGGGTCAGGCTGCTGCCCACGTCCACCCTGCGGGGGAGGGGGTGTGAATGCCCTGGCCTGGGCTCGTCCTCAGGGTGGGCCTTGGAGGGGGGCACTCCTACCTCCAGGGCCACAGCCTTGCCGGGGCCCTTTCTTCCCCTCTCCGGCTGTGAACAGAGGCGGGTTGGGGGCTCAAGAGGCCAAGAGCAGGTTAACTGCCGGCCTCCAAGTCTCGAGCAGGAGAGAGCCAGAGCCCAGGGGCCAGGAGCTCAGCTGGGCGCCAGGAGGTGGCAATGGACACCGGGGCCAGTGGGCCCAAGGTCTGTAGCTACCCAGAGGCCTGCTGAGCGGGCGGCTGGGCGGAGCCCCCGCACACCACGCTCCCCCAGAACCAAGCGCGGCCCCCCAGCTAACACTCACTGCTCCATGTGGACCTGCCAGTAGGCCTTGCGGGTGACGTTGAGGAAGGACAGGGGCCCCCTGTAGTACTTGGAGTCCGTGCCGCCCAGCATCAGCTCACCCCCAGGCTGTGCGCCGGGGTTCCTGGGAGGAGAGAGGGGCGGAGTCAGCTGCATTTGCTCCTCAAGCATGGCCGGGGGGGTGGGGGGGTGGGCGGGCCTGCCCACCCCCACCCCATGTGTCCAGCCTGACCGCGGGCGCGACAGGCATGAGCTGGGGCCAAGTCAGAAGGGGTGGGTGGAGCTGCAGAGATGGAAAGATCCAAAGGAGGCACGAGGAGGGGAAGGACTGCCTTCTCCTTGAGGGGCGGGGCGCTGATCACACACTGTGTGGCCTGCAGGCCAAGCTCCTGCTCAGCCCACACAGGTGCCCAGCCTGCCA